CCTAGTAGTAAGGCCAGGAGCCCCTAGTAGCGTCCTTGCTCCTAGTAAGGCCAGGAGCCCCTAGTAGCGTCTTTGCTCCTAGTAGTAAGGACAGGAGCCCCCAGTAGCGTCCTTGCTCCTAGTAGTAAGGCCAGGAGCCCCTAGTAGCGTCCTTGCTCCTAGCCAGGAGCCCCTAGTAGCTTCTTGTTCCTAGTAGCGTTGCCCTTGTTCCTAGTATGTTTTTAGAAAGGAGATGAGGAGAGGAAGATGTTGATGTTTGGACCTGTGAAGATGTTTGGAGCACGCACAAGCGGCAGAATTTGTTTACTTATCTTGTTTAAGTCTTGGAGGATGGCAGATGGCATACACTTCTAGAACCAGCAAACTGATTGAATCTTCCTGGTAAACTAAGGGTGACCACCAATCTCCTATTCTTCAGGATGATTTCTGGGCCGGACTTCGCTGGCACATCCCACAAGTTCACTTCCAAAAGGTCACTGCTCCCACTGCTTCTTATAGGGGTGGGTAGTGGCACTGGGCGCCCCCCCTGGCTTGACCAGAAAATGAACCGAATTCAGAATGGACGATCTTACTACAGGAGGTCAGCCTACCCTGGCTTGGGGATCCGGGTGCCATGACCCATAGCCATATGTTTTGGGTTTGTCCTATTACCTGTAACAGTCAGTAAACAATTACTGCATCACTATGTTTGAACAAGGCCTTTACTAACCATCATCATCCACTGTTACAGGTAACAGGATAGACCCAACATATGTTCCGTTTTTCTTATATAATACCAAACGTTCTGCACGGTTGAACGGTTCGGCTGGCTCAACTATTTGACGCGGCTCTGAGACGCAAGCGTGAACGACTGAGTCACCTAACAGTTTTCGCAGTGAAACGCTCAGCTCATGGAGCAGGATCCGAACAGGATATGTGGCACAAACAGCCAAGCCCCAAGAACTTCCAGGAACTTTTAAGAAGGGTTGACCTGGTTTTGTAGTCTAAAATCCTTAGTAAGACTCAGTTTTTGTTGATTTATACCATTACCCCAAGTTCTCTTCCGAACCAGCAGAGGATTCCTCATTGGTCCGTGAGTGAGGTTTGCGAGGACATTCCCTGGAGGAACGCTGTCCAACACCATAAGAGAAGTACATCTGACCCAACACCAAGACAATCTAAGATAAGTATATATTTTTCTAGTGATGAAGCTGTTTTGACCCATAGCCAATAGCTATGTCATTCCTTCATATTCCTTCTACCTGGAGGTTTGGCTGGCACAGGGGTCCTAAGCAAAAAACACAGAATTGTATAAACAAAATCAAAGATGAGTTGTAGGAGCTATATGTAAGAATACAGCAATTGCAAAACACCAATTGCCCCTGCATCGAAAAGGAATAATGCTTTTATGAGCCCACCCGAGGGTCCGGTTGGATCTGGACATGGGGGGTCTTGGTGATTGGCAGGTCTCTGTGGGTTTTGGGGCGCCTCCTTCCTGCGTTCAGCCCTGAAACCAGTTTCAGAGCTTTGATACTAGCGATGGCCTCCAACCTAAGAGCTATGGCCTCCAACCTAGTAGCGGTGACCTCCAACCTACTAGCGATGGCCTCCACACCAAGATGTGATTGAACGATGGGGGGCAAAGCAAGGCACCAGCAAATTTGGTGTTACTTGTGACATCTACTCTGAAACCATTGTAAATTGAACCTGCATTTCTTCAATAAGGAGCTGAAGGAGGAGTTGGCCAGCAAAGCCAAAGTTGCAAAGGAAACGAATCAGGAGACTGGTGCGGTCAAGGCGGACCTTGTGTGACGTGTGGCTTGGAAAGGCCATTCTACTCAGATGGTTTGCCAATTTTGTAGGGTTCTTAAGCCCCACTAGAAATCACGGGTTGGAGGCCATGTCAAGAGTGATTTGGTTTGATCCTTTTTTAGCTTTGTTTCAGCGCAGCTCGCCTGCCACAGATGTGACCTTGCGTGAGAGTGAGCGTTTAGCAGGTGGATTGACTCCATGGTTCTTCCAATATGATAGAGGTCGGTTCTTTTTTGCACTTTTGCTGAACTACGAACATATCCCTGTGAAAACTCTTGACCGCCGGCCACATGGCCAGGTATGTAGCATCCGGAGTAGAATATGGACCCGGACCTGTATGTCATTGGCTTTGGCCGCAGTTTGTCTTACTTCAACAACTTTCCTTTTTAGCGGACCAAAAGTTGGAACTCGAGACTCGAAACCATAGCTGACCACGCCTAGCTGCTGGTCCAAGTACTCCCTTTGTTCTTCGGCAGGGTTCATTTGAATTCATACGATACCTCGGTTAAACTTGTTCGAAGTACATGATATGTCAGGAGGACAAAGAGGAGAAAGAGAAGCAGAACAAGGCCAGTGGCATGGAGAATGTGTGGATATGATACATATAGAGTATACATAATTGGAGCTAAATAACTTAACATCACCATACGCTGCTACATTCTGCTACATTGAGTTAGCAATGGCTAACTGTTGAGTGACTGCAGTGGCTGATTTGTTGCAGTGACGGACATCACCTGACAGCTCAGTCGGTGCGGTGACTTGTCCTTACCACGGTTCTTGTTTTACGGGTGTTTTCCACCCCACGGTCATGCCAATCCTGTATAAGTGGTGTTGATGGAACTCGTGCACTTCTTCCTTGGACAAATGCTGGCGTTTCGGTCCTAACGTGTCGCGTTCACTGCAGCAGTTCCTTCACCCGACACGTGTCGGGTCGGAACTAAACGATACAGTGGAAGTCGATGGGACAAGGATACCGAGGCAGCCCTTGTCTAAACCAAGACAAGCAAGGCATGTGTGATCTACGTAGTCACCATGACTTCGCAGCACCTGCAGCACATCCTGCAGCACCTGGAGCTTGGAACCTATCACTATCCATCCATATCAACAATAACACTATTACAGTCGGTAAGTACTGTAGGGGTTCCAGAGAAGCGTGTATATATTTGATGTCGCCCTGCGCATTGACATGTCCTAAGACGCGCACCATGGAAATCAAAGCGGCGACGGCATCGCGGCACCCGTCTCAGCCGTCCCTAACGGATCGCTCCGTTTGGATCGGTGGTGAGGTCGATCTACGCAGGGTGAGCGGTGTGCGGCTGGGTCCATGTCTGCGAACGGTCTGCTCCCACGGTCTGCCAAGCAAAAGCGAGTGCCTAACAAAAACTCATTACTGTAGCACTCCCTAGCCAGGAAAAGTCGGTCACCTGCCCAAGCTATTCCGGCGCCGCGCTGTGTCACATGGCCCACAAGACCTACCATAGCGTGGCATAGCGTGGCCAATGTCAATGCCAATAGAAATACTGCAGCTTGATTGTTCTATGTTCAGCTTCACTCTTGGAGTGTTCTTCTCAGAGGGAGGGTATATACTTGCTTCTTGTCCGCAGCCAGCGCAGCGTCAGGAGGTGGACGCAACCGAAGCAGAGGACGAAGAGAGCACGACAAGTGAGAGAACTACTGTGTAACTGCAACGACCTGTGATTGCAGAGGTACTTGTTTTAAGGTCAACATAAGAGCCCAACCCTGACGTGAAAAAAAGAGTCTTTCTTCAGTGAAGCCCGAGGGGGATGCATGAGTACATCCGGTATGCCAACAAGGAAGGTTGAGCAGGGTTTAGCATGGTGGAGGCCGATCTAGTTGCACAGTGTGGTCTTTTTTTAGCAGGACACAGGCTGAATCTGGCATCTCACAGGACCCCGGGAATCTCAGATCTCCCAAAAACTTGGGTTTAGGGAAGTCGTGGATCGAAACCCTGCGAGAGGAACTGTTCCATACCCAAACTTCTTCTGGCCTGGTGGTTGCCAATTTGTTTTGCCTTTCGAGGACCTAGCAAAAAGGTCCGTCCAGATGTTTCAGAGATCCACTGAGATCCATATTCATCTGTTTTTTTCTGCAAACTGACCAGGACATATTCACTTGATCCCTGGAGGCTCTGAATATGTCCTTCGTCGGTCCACTTGTGTGGACCATGGCAGATCGGTGGACGGACGACCAGCAAGCTGGCAGGCCCGGACACCAAGCTGGCAAGGCTAGTGACCAAGCTTATTTAAGGATGGCACATCCATGCTGGGTGGTTTCAGATATTCTTATGATCAACATTTACTTGTGATGATTGTTCTGACTGACCAATCTGTTTCAAGTGGATTGAAACCACCAACCAGATGGACCTTGTTTGAAGCGCCTCTCCATTTCCCCGTTCTTCGTCCTCAGGAGCCTGCAGCCAAAAAGCAGAAGACGATGCCTGCGATGTCAGGCAGTGTGGGTCTTCCGAAGCAAAGGTTGAACCACTAAGCACGCCCAATTGGGGGAAGCGCGACTACAGACTAGATAATGTAGACTCTTGATCAATACACCCTCCAGAACCCACCCATTTGAATTGGACATTTCCTCTTCATATGGGGAGTTTGGATGAGTGCCAGAGGTAAGCAGCAGAAGTTGTGTCACAATGTTGAATGAGTGTGGTTCTTGTTCTTGTCTCCACCATGAGCATGAATGGGACTGGTAATACCTGAATCTTCCGCAGAATGTCCGTTACACCAGGACCATCCTGTCTGGGTCACCTGGGACCATCCTGTCTGGGTCACCTGGCTGGACTACCCTCCACTATCCGGGATCTCCAGACAGGATGAAGTCTCCCAGCGAGGATGGCCATTCCGCTCGGTTCTTGGCCGTTTCCACTCACCGCGTGTGGTCGTGACATCGAGCACCGCAGGGTATGGACACCTGTGGCACCCCCAAACAAGCAGATGCTTTGCCTTCCAAGACCAATAAAAGACAGCTTCACCTGGTTGTGCAGTGTAAATCTCAGTAAAACAATGCCACATGTCCTGTTTTTTTTTTTTCCGTCTTGCGAGGACCTTTCCGGCGAATGGAGAAGACTGTATATATAGAGTCATTTTGAAATCTCGTTAGTCGGTCATTAGTCAGTGGCTTTATTCGGAATTGTCGTCTTTCATCATTTCCCCTTCGGCCGCTCCTTCATAGCACTGTATCTCGCTTCGCTATGTCAGTGACTTTCGGACTTGTGCGCATGTTTGACAACACACATTAAATAGATGATACTAGATCGAAGGTGGTTGGAATCCTAGGGTTTTCACATGTTTTCACATCAATGGAACAGCTCAAACATGACAAGTTCATCCACTCGTCGCGTTTGGTTCACCTGTGACCGGACCTGGTAACCAAGCAAGGTCCCTATTGTGATACGCTACCTAATCATATATGACCAACATCAAATCCACTGCTCATCAATCTAATCCTGTCCACCTATTGAAAAACACGGGGCCCCCCCCCTCCCCCTATTAAGAACAACTTGGTTGCATTTTTTTAAATAGGGGGTCCCTGAAATCGGGGGGGGGACCTGAAGAGCTTCAAAACCAAAAAGTCATCCAGGAAAATTTATATTATCCTTTATTAAACTCGTATCAAAAATTCAAAAAACATCCAGATCGAAGGGTCTTCCCTTTTCCCCTACAAAACCCCTTTATTAGAATACTGATTCTTCATTAGACTAACAACCAAAGCTTTCGAAAGGTGATGTCGCTGTGACATGCGGTTTTGCACGACCTCGGTGGCAAGTGCGTTTGTGTGAGTCCGTGCCATTGGAGGGAGGAAAACCTGCTGATGTAAACGCGGCGTGTCATGGTGGATACACAGGGCGGACAGATGTGGGCAGTTACGGTTGTCTTTTGGAACCTAATAAAAGAAACTACCCCACAGATTGACCATGTTGGTAGTTTAGTAGCGGCTTGAAAGGGCGATAATTTAAAACCAAATATACGCCTATTTTAGGGCTTCGGACGTGGTGTTTTTTATAGGGGAGGCTTTTTAATAGGTACTCGGGCTTACCTTTACCTATATACTTCACATCATTTCATCCTCGGGAGCTCAAACCTTCTGATTTTGCCAGGCGCCGTCGCGCCACTGGAAGGCCTCCCAGAAGCACCGGTGCAGCTTGATGCATCCGCTGCACCTCCTGGACCATTGGGGGGTGTTTGTTTGGCACACTTACTAAACGAAACTGACTTTAGTCAATTATTGTATAAAGCTGTTTAATCAGTTGGAAATACAATGAAATGCAAGGAAGAACCTACTGTTCAAAGATATTGATTGCTTGTCGATGGGACTGATAGGAAAGATCGGAAGAATTGGCACCTGGGAGCATCAGTTTTAAAGAAACTGCTTGTGTCTCACAAACCTTTTGCCTCACAGCACTCTCTCGTATACTCATTTTCTCAGGCAAAAGATTTCGCCGCATAGCATACACTGGACGTATTCCGCGAAGTTGCATCCTCCACACACTGAGTCTTTGATCATTGAGGACTCGAGTAGGACATCTATGGGTGTACATGGATTAAAGCAGAAACCGTGGCAAACTTCAACAGTTGGTCAGGCATTTCACTTGGTTGGGGTGTTTTCAACTGGAGCTCCATACCTTGTGGGCTGCCAGAGAATCCAGTACAAAAACATGCATCATTGTTCTCACTATTTTTACTAAATCATCCGCTTGAATCCTTGGCAGGCACAGGGTCTGTACCCACCCGCACCTGTGACAGGACTTCTAGCTTGTGGCCCCTACTCCCTCGACAAGGTTCAGATCTCCTTGGAAGGGGAGAAGTCATACCCCGCAGGCTGGCAGGTTCCAGTGACCGATGGATGGACTGATGAGTAGGTCGGACGCCCCGCCCAAGCATGTGAGTGAAAGCACCCAAATTCAAAAAGGATTTGTAGAACCTATGGCATCAAATCCAGGAACCTACGGCGTCAGATCCCAGGATCCCCAGATTCCCAGGAGACTTAGTGACCCAAGGGGCTGCTTTTGCTTTGTGTGTTGATGGACTGCTTTGTGGGGCTTTGAGCCCCTGAGTTGGCACCGTCATCTCACCGGTCAGGCCTGCGGTCCGGCTGGATCATGGCCCCTGGTGGATCATGGTGAATCAGATCAGCCTTCCAGCACCCATCTCTACTTAAGAGTGTTTGTGAGGCTTTCTGAAGGGGATCAACCCATCAGGATCAACTCAGTTCACATGGGTCGCGTATCATGTCTATTCATATCTGGCATAGCCTGGCTTGAAACCCAAACAGCCCAAACCACATCTAATTGGCTGTATCATGATTGTATCAGCCTTTGAGCGTAGCTGGATTTGGAAGGACAGATCTAAATCTGTTCAAGCCACACTTGATCGACTTGGACCATTCTGTCAGCCCTATCGACTCCAATCAATGAAGGAAGAACATCAGAACATCCAGCACCACTTGAGAGAGTGCAGGGTTTTTGCATGCCCACAATGATCCCAGCCTTTTGATTTACTTGGTTTACGGGTTGCCTTTGACTCCATAAGTAGGTGTGGTTTGGCTGGCAAACGGGTGTTGACATTCTAGCTCTTGTTTGGAACGTGCAGAAACCGCAGCCGCGTCCGTTCTTACCTATAAGAGTCGGTCAACAATGACTCTCCCTGGAATTCACATGGTGGAAGTGGATGGGAAAACCACCTGTTTGGTTCGTGGATTTCATGATCTTCCATTCGGGGCCAGGCATTCTCCACTTCCATGGAACGTTCCAGGGAGTGTATCACTAGAGGAAGGCCTGGAACTGAACCATCATCATCCACTGGGCCCAGGGAATGGGATATCGGATATACCAATGTATCATCGGCAGTACTGCCCCTGCTGACGGCAGCTGCCGACTTGCCAACTTGTCAGGTATTCCTGCGATGGCAGATGTGGAGTGGGACCTTTTGACCAAGGACATGACACGGGACAAATATACCAGGACCCTCCTGTCGGGGTGTCCTGGCTGGACTACCCGACACTACCTACATAGCTTCCATTGGGCACCCCTTGGAGGGTCCTGGTACTTTCAGGCGTTCGGGCTGTCCTTTTGACTCTCCATGCCGATCAGTTGGGGTGGTCTGAGGGGTGGTGCGGCATATATGACAGACATGGAGTCATGGAGTGGGTTCAGTATCCTAGTTCTATACCAGGGCCCCCCGAAACGCGGGGCGTCGAACAAGACATCTCCACACAGTTCGAGACTCCCTGTTCCACATTGTTCCACGGAAGGTACTCTTTGGTTCTTCTTCACATCGGTGATTCGGGTCAGCAGATCTACTTTGCTCACCATCCCGCCCGAACACCTGCCCGAAAAGGAGGAGCCGGAGCGGGTGGATGGGCCTGTGTTGTGCCTCCGCACGAGAGAAACCACCGGCGGCACGCTGCACTTGAAGATGTGGCTTGGGTGAGAACAAAGATGAACATGGCCGAAGAGGTCGGGTGTACCCACCAGGTCGTATGTGGACGTCTCCTGCAGGTCACCCCCCACGTCTCAACAAGAACGGGTGGAGTTCCTTCGGTGAATCGAGTTTACGGCGTTCAGAGTATGGCTGGGTGGGTCCATTACGGATTTTGGAAGACATCGACGGCGGGTTCATCGATGTGCTGTGGCGTCGAATCCAGAAGACCAGTGGCTACCAGGGTCGAAGACATGCTGACAGAGAATTCTCATAAGCATAAGCTTGGATGGACATCTCCTAGTGATGCTGGTGCAGAATGTCAGGGATACAGGAGCTTGGACCCTCAGCCATTATTCAACCGTCTTGGCGATAGGGGTAGAACACAGATCGTAGACGAGTATGGAGTATTTTGCTCATGGGGCTTCACTCACTTCATTTAAATCTGCCCAAAAAGAGGAATTCTACAGGCTGAGTGACTTTCAAACTCTCCGAAGTTGACTCAGGCATAATTGTAATACCTGAGCCTGAGCACCATTTTGCCGGCACTTGGCTGACCTTGATGTCATGCGGAGTAGATGCACTGACTAACTGTGCATGGGCAAAATGGAGCCAACACGCCCAGGTTGAAGTCCAAGAAGAAGCTACTTCATTATACTCACTTCTCAGATGAGGCCCTACTGATGGACAAGGAGAGTGTTTCGTTCCTTTGTTTCCGAAGCACGAAAATGGACAGAGGCAACGAGTCAACAGTGCGCCGCGCGCCGTGTTTGTCGGTTCTCTTCAGGCACTTCGAGAATAGGCCATACCTTGATCTTCCAACTGTACGTAAATTCTGTCAAACATTGGCTTGTTTTATAGATGAAAAGGCAGACATAACAGTACACAGTTGGAGTTTTTCCAGGTATATAGTATATCCGCCCCATTTCGGGTGAACACCGTGCTCCATCTCAATCTTTCTCAAAAGACGCCGGAGCCGGAACGTTTGGTTTCCCCCTTCTATATGGGGCGAGTGTCAGCGACCGTCAGCGCAGGACTCGAAATGCAATGCTTGTGGCTTGATCCTCTTGCTGGAGACCAGTTGAGGGGGGGGTGTTTGAGTTGAACGGAGGAGTGAGTCTTGAGATGTCTTGAGTGTCAGTTGTTTCTTTGTGTGTTTTCTCAAGCGGTTTCAACTTCAATGGTTTTTCAGGCGAACATCAAATTTCTCATCACCCAGATGATTGATTTCTGGGGGCTTTATGGCTTGGAAGAGGGACCCTCATGAAAGGAACCCTGATCAATGGATGTTTGGTCGACTTTGCTGACACCAGCAAAGGGGTAGGACCCCAGGCGGGTGTAAAGACTTGACATGACAGGACCAACAGCAGAGCTACAGGGTATCCAAAGATGTTCTTTAAGTGGCATGCCCGGCATGCCCACTATTTTGTAAAACTTCATTGCTTGTTTGCAGTTTTGCTTCAAAGTTTGCAACATGACTTGCTGGTCCATCCAAAGCCGAAGTCTGAACACTGGGGAAAGTGACTTTCAGCGTCGGTGAGCCGAACCGCAGCGTCGTCGGACGTCGGCGCAGACGCCGCCGGTCTGACGCGGCCGCGTCTTGGGGCGGGTCAGACGCGCTTGGCAGGAGACCAGTGATGGACACCTGCTGATCCATCAGAGCGGTGAGCAAACGCTCCTTGGCCGAAACTAAGAAGAGGAAAACCTGGGGTTTTGGGGTCTATTTCCCTTTTTCTAGGGGGTTCGGAATGCCTGAAAGGTCTCCCTATTTTCATACACACCCAAGGTGTAGTTAGTTGGTGGGTGTGAAGATGAGGCACTCGAGATTTGGACGGGCCCGAGTTGGCAAAATTCTGAGGGAATATCTGGAAGTCACATGAAGAACGAGTGGCCGTGGGCCTCTTAGCTTGAGCATTTTGGTGGGCAAGATGGTCACATCACATGCTGGTTGCAGGTGAGGGAGTAGCAACCCATCTCTTGGGGGTTGGTGCTTTTTCACAAGTGGTCCAAAGTGAGCTCTTTCCTGTAGGTCAACACCGCATGTTTAAACATGCATGCTTTAATGCCTTCAAACTGGGGGTTGTCACATGGCTGTGGGGCCTTATGCTGTGTATAGGAAGGAAGGACAAAGGCAGCAAGAAACGGGAAGGAGAGGACGACCAGGTCTGGAAGAAAGGTCTGAAGCGTTCGACCGTTCGACAACGTCAGACGAACCACACGCCGTTCGACTCGACCGAGACTCGAACGAGCAAAAGCCTAAAGCATCTTCTGAGCACAGACAGTCTGAGTTGCATTGCCTCGGGTTGCCAAGCTGTGCTTTGGTTAAGTCCTATCCTGTGTTGCCTTCCAACCGAGCTGAATATCACGGTCTTCAAGTTGGCTGGATTACGAGGTGTCCGGTGTCCGGTTCCCATGGTTGGACGTAAAGAACCACGGGCCCCCCCAAATCCATCAACATCCCACAACATGTTTCCAGCAAGTTCAAGTTTGTTTTTCAAAAGGAACTCTCTCTATGCATGATAATATATAGTATAGACCAAACTATAGCCCGAACAAATGGTTCGATCCAACCTCAAACTTGCTGCACTCCTAGACAATAATAGATGAGATGAGGCTTTTTTCAAGATCTATACACTCCCTCAAAGAATCATGAAAGGAATTGGCACCACCTGGGTCTGATGAAACTGCTCCTCCGATTCGGGCGATTTCATGATCGATCGCTGCTCAGAAAAATCTCTTCGGATCCCTTCGGTTCGTAGATCGATCGGTGCTAGTTTCGTCTCTCGCGTTGGTACTGGGCGCAGAAAACACATCGGTGCGGCCAGGTGGGAGCTGTGCGCGGGCGAAGTGACCACGTCGGACTTGGCCCAGGCCATCGCACAGGTGCAAGTGGACGCGTGGATCTGCTCAGTTCTGAGTTTGGGAAGGGCGGATGGTCAGAGAATCCCATGTTGGAACAGGTTGATGCTAGGCTGCTAGGTATTGTTGATGCACTTGAGGACCAGCGCATGAACAGGCATGAACTTTGGTTTGGAAGAACTTGAGCCCCAATCGAAAGTTTTGGTCTTCGCATGTCCGTCTTGCCAAAAGGATGCTTCATTTGCTGTCAAACGAGAACAACACCAATAACTAATAAGCCTGGACATGGATAGCCCTTCATATCTGTCTCATCTCGAGTTTGTCTCCCACAAAGACAACGAGACTTTTGTCTTGCAGTCTTGCAGTATTTATCTTTGTTTGTGCATAGAAGTCCATGCGACAACATTACAATAGCAAACACGATGATGCAAGGAGCCCAAAAAAGCTTCCCATGTATATACAGTATATATATAAATATTATAGAGAATGGCTCACAATATAATGTACTTTCTAGCTGCGCTCGTCTGGAATGAAGCTGTGCCAATGGCGTCATGTTTGCCAGTTCCACACAGCACACAAAAATGCAGTGCCCACGAATGTGTCCCACAAAGCACTGTAAAACGATAAGGATGACAAGAAAAAACAAGGTCTCATGATTTCTCGGCGTTTTTCGAGTGGTATGGGGACAGCGAACGAGAAGTTTTAGAGAACTTAGACAACCAGACACCTCACCCCGGCTGTCGGTTTGTGCCCAGAGATGCCCAGAGGCAGCGCCAGGTTCTGTTGACAGCTTTGCCCAACTCCCAGCAGAAGGACTCTCAAGATGTCTTGGCCTCGATGAGGACGGAAGCAACTGGGGCGAATCCGGCGTGGCCTGGCGACTGCAACTGATCAGTTTCGACCGAACCAGTGGAGGGTGGAACGTGTGAACCACTGTGCTCCCACTGACTGTTGGAACTGTCAGCAAACGGCGATGTTACTTGGACTTTCGGGCACCATCCTCGCTCGCGGGTGCATAAAGAGGGCTAGCCTGTTCTTTTTCTAGAGTGTGGTTCTTCAAAGTTCTTCATGTGCCACCCTGGCCAAGGCAGATAGCCGAGTTCTCAACTTTGGGGGTATTTGAAGGCTTGTTGCCAATTTGTTTCAGGTCCAAGCACAACATCACCCAGAGGTTTTTTTTGCATTTTCTCATGACACACGGAAGTCCCGCTTATTCCAATGCTTGCTTTTCCGGATAGGCCGTATGTGTCAGGTAATATGGTATAGGCCCTGGCACTCGGGACTTCCCATCCTACCTTGATGGTCTGGTGAAATTCAGTTGATGGACCTTGTTCACCTCAGGTCGGTTGGCAAAAGACAACAACACCCGGTGACCCACATGGCCGGCGAGGGGGCATGGATCACTTGAAACAGGGGCTTTGCATGGTGGGATGGGTCCACCATGGTCCAGTCTCAAACCGCCAGACTGGAACCGAAGCAGTCGGAGAACGTCTTCGTCTTGTCGGTGATCCGGGGAAGCACCGTGATGCAGTCGTTGGAACCGGCACCTGTGTGATGATATCCAGCGAGAAAGGCTAGGAAAGAGCCGGGGAAGCACAAGAGTCACAGATGTCCTTTCCTTTTGTTCTGGAAGCTTGCACATGCGGCGCAAGCATCCATCAAGCGCCTTTGACGTCAGCTGCAGGGGTAGGTTTGGAATGTTCTGGATAGGTTTTTGAGCGCCTGATCCGGAGGGACACCACACTGATGACCAAATTGACTAGTGACTAGTGCCCTTCGCAAGGTTGTTGAGCATGCTCATCAATGCTCAACTGACAATCTATATCGTCATAAACATACAAAGATAAGATATCCCATCACTAGCCCACATTGGTTTGCTTTATGATGAAATATGAGGAAAACCCTTCCGGTACGGGCACCACCAGCAAGCCTTAAAGTTACCCTGCCCGGCCCACCGGGACAATACCAACAAACACCGTGGATTTGGAGGTTCTCACCGTTGTTCCTGGTGTATATAACTTGGGTGTTCATCTACCTACCAAAGGAGGCCGGAGCCCTGAAATCAACTTCCAGTGTCCAGAACCAGGCTATAAGCGTTCAGCAATCATGCCACAAGCACAACGCTCACGAATATATAGACGTTTTTCAGCTATAGGCTCTAGTGGTGGAGTGACTATATAAATGCGCTTTTGGAATCTTTTGGAGCCATAGCCATATGATTTGCGTCAAGGTTGTGCACAGGCTCTGAAGCTTTAGCAGCTGCCTTTCTTTGGAATGTATATAGTCTTCTAGATTGGAGATTTGCAAGAAGGATCCTTCCAAAGTCACCGAATGCGTCGCCTACCTATGGTGGTAGGTTGACTTTGTCCTGTCCTGTGCATGATTACAGTTTTTGCTGCAACACATGCTACTCTGGCCACATTGTCCAATATGAAGACCATCAAAGGACATCAGAAGGCAGTCTTTAAGAACGCAAACAACACTTATTTAAACAACACTTATTTTCCCATCCAGCAAGTGCATGCAGTTGTTCGCATCTCGTACTTTCATGAATGGCATCAGATAATGTCAGATAATTATATAAGTTTACATTCGTCCTGGATGTCCACAGGTTTTGCGACAGCAGAGCGTCGTGCGGAAGTATGATGTGAAGGTAGTGCTTGTATTACAGTGCTTGCACCCTCACAGGAGTTTGCATGTGTAGTCACGTATACTCACATGATTCCATAGAACCCACATAGGCGCTGTTTTGACAGGAAAGGTCCACATTTTTGGTTGGCTGGTAATCCAAAAAAGGCCCTTGGACAAGAGGAAATGCCTCAATCCACCAGGTGCGAGCCCACGCGATCATGATCAACGCTCCCTGCCTTAACAGCCTCACTCCAGTGCAAGTGCAACCAAGTTTGCATCCCTACACTGCAGGATCCTGGGGCTCTTGGATGTGGGTGCCTCAGTTTCAGCTAGGCTTTCACACCAGGCGCCAGGCGCGCGTTACATCTATACACCGGTTTCTGTTGTGACCCAAGACACATTCAAGATCAGCTCAAAGCTGGACAAATTAACGTGTGACATGTTTTCAAGAACCGGTTGCCCTGTCTCAATTTTGGTTTGACATGAACGCCCAGTGGCATAGCACGTTGTTTGCGTGAACTACTTTCAGCTACAACTCGAAAAGCTCCGACTCGACCATCATCATCTGACCATGGGGGTGTCGCAGTGTGGGTTCGTTGAGCGATCGCACAATATATCGTCCCCAACCGTTGGAATTTGAGTGGGCGACCTGTGGTCGAACGTTTGATCTTTTTTTGTCACTTGGTTAGTCGCATATTTTTCTGTCGAATCATTCCACGCCGGTTTGGGGAAACAACATTTGGTGAAACAAAATTTGGTTTGCCACCCAGGATTTGGTTGGTACCTGTTCTTTGCGGCACTCTATAGTGGCTATGCTTGAAACTGACATGTTGCAGGAGGGCAAAGAGGGCAAAAATGATGGGATGGGTAGACACTTCATATTGTGGGGTCAGCCAGAGCGTGGGTATTTTCATGGATCTTCGCCACATACTTCACACTAGTTGATACCCACCACGTCGGACCCAGTCTTTGAGGTCAAGGAAGCACCTCGAGGCCACAGGCTCGCAGCCGAATTCGGGGTCGCGCAGAGGCAGTTCCTGGGTCGACGGAAATGATAACCCAAACCAACCAACGGCCCAACAGCACCTTCAATCTACAACCAACGGGGACAAACAACCCAAACCAACTCAAAAAAATGGGTTGTTGTTGTTGAGTTTTGCAGGCAACAGGTAAAAACAGACTCCTTATTTTCGCATGTTTTCGCCACCTTGCCAGATGACGAGGGTCTATAGATTTTGATTTTTTTCCTTCCTCCGCTTGCAGACTCCTTCCTGTGTTGTGCGCTGGACTTCCCTTCAGGCTACTTCTTCACGCATGCTGCAGACTTCTGTCGGCTCTATTGTGCGTTGGACTTCTCCCAGCCACTTCTCGGCTGTAAAGCGGTGGACTTGATGTTGGCACTGCTACGCCAACAAATGTCAGATTACATGCCGGAACCCAACTCAGAAACACATGTTGAAACACTTGCCACAGGAATGTCAGAACAGGCATCAGAACACAACACATGGCAGAACACAAGTGCGAGTGCATGTCCGAACATGTGTCAGACGAATGTCAGAACAGGTGTCAGACTACATACCAGAACACATGCCAAACATCAGAACAGTCGTCAAAACACTTGTCAGACGAGTGTCAGACAAGAACACCTGACGGACAGATCAAAACAATCATCGGAACATGTGTCAGACGAATGTCAGAACAAATGTCGGACTGCATGCCAGAACATATGCCAGGTTGGAGCCAGAACAAATTAAATATATCAGAACACATGTCGGAACACTTGTACCTTGGATGTCAGAACAAGTGTCAGAATACATGCAAAAACACATGCCTTAGCCGAGCAAAGGCTGTGTTTGAACATATGTTAGGACAGATGCCAGGTGCAGTCAGAAAAAACATGTCGGGACACGTGTTGAAACACTTGTCAGAACGAACGTCACAATACAGAACGCGTGTCAGAACACAGTTGAGAACGCGACTTGGCACATATGTCAGAACATATGTCAGAACCACTGGCAAATTCAATGGGAGAATGCGTGTCAGAGTTTGTGACAGAACAAAAGCTAGAATTGTGACTGTGACAGAACAAATGTTAGAATACAGCTCAGAACCGAAGTTGGACTTTTCAGAACCCTTCCCAGATTTGATGCAAGAGTGCATGTCAGAAGATGTGTCAGAACGTCAGACTTCACGGCAGGACACATGTCACAAGACATGGCCACCAAAACACATTCCAAAACATTTTCCAGTGTTTGTGCTACATGAGGTGTCAAAACACATACTGGACTTGATGCCAGAACAAACGTCAAAACTTTGTGTCAATGCACATGTCAGGCAACAAATCTGTCATGTGCCCTGCCTTCCACATCGACTCGTAGGGTGGGGATCGCTTGAAGCAAACATGTTGTTTTTGAAACTGGTTGTGGCAAGCTGTTTTTCCATTGGTACACATGGCACACCGAAGTGTGGCAACCAAGTAACCAAGTGTCCTCCCTCCATCTATGAGTTTTGCATCCATGACATGGATCCAATAGGCATTTAGAGAACACAGAAAGCCACATTGGGTTAACTCCGCAACACAAGAAGTGGCAAATACTTGTCCAGTGGTCTGCAATGTTTAGTATGCAAATGATCTGAAACTGTTTTAGATCTATATTTTGTCGTGATACTTCACCAACCAGGTTGGATTGTTTGATGACTTCCTTGGTTCAGCAGGATTTCCCTGTACAACGTTTAACAGTTTAACAGATCGTCCATGCACCCCCACTGTGCCTTATACAACTTACTAGAACTTTCATCGTCCCTCCAAGGCCCACAAAACAGTGTCACCAACTTTGCTGGACTGGGAGGCCTCTCCAGTTCACCTTTCGTGAACTGAGTTCAATCGAACGGAGCTTGGAACACCCAACGAACGACCAGCTGGAAATCGCTAACTCATCCCCCGCCCAAGGCGTGAGCCGGCTGCTCACGACTGAGGCATGAACTCGTGGCGGCTGGCCGCTTACCCTTCGCAGCCTCCAAGGTGCCGCGTCACCGCGGCGCGCGGACCGGCGACCGCGCGTGGTGAACTCAGGGAAGCGGTTGGCCTGGTCGAGGTTGGCGTGGGGGCGGATCCGGCCGGCTGTTGTGAGGTTTCGGGTTTGGGTTTCGGTGTGGACGGTAGTAAAAGGTCTGAGAGAGTTCCGGTGGTTTGATAGAGAGTTGAGTCAGGATTTACTGGGAGGTGTGCGGTGTGCAGAAAGTTTGGCACCTCGGGAATTTCAAGTGTCCTTTGTGCTCGGTGGCAATTGGGCTGAACAGAAAGGTAGCTAAAACCTCTGGAGCTTCCACCAACACAATGATCAGGTGGACATAAATCTCAAGCTGAACTACTTCCACGAAGGTGTCCATCCCGTTGCACTGAAGAAATCCGCCAACGAGGTGTTCTAGAAAGCCCTGGCCAAGGCCAAGAACACGTTATCTGGCACACCTTATCTGACAGAGCTGCATGACGCCCACCAAAGCTCCACGAGTGTTGGAGGGCTCCACGGGCTCTTTCTCGTTCGATGCGGTCGCGCAGGATGCGGTCTGCGAAGGTCAGGGTCTCCAACGGCAGATCATGTTGTTTCTTATGCATGCTAATCTCATACATACAAAGTTCTAGTTCTATTGCTAATCTCTCTAATGAAACCCTGATACATACCTGTGAATACCCAATTAATCCCAATTATATCAAATAAGATCAAACAAGTAATAAGTCTAATATCCATGTATGGTCATATAGATCTACATTATACGTAGTATACATGCATGAATTATATATAGATTGCATCCGCACATGAGACACCCCCTCCCACGTGCAAGCGAGTGACATAGTTTCCCAATGTTACCCACAAGCTTCATTCGAAGTACGCTACTAGTAGCTTCTTGCTACTAGTAGTAAGGTGCCTTGCTCCTAGTAACTTCTTGCTAGTCGTAATGCACTTGTTACTAGCAGCGATGCCCTTGTTACTACCTTCACGTGATCAGTTTTTAAAACCCATACCAGGTGTTTCGTCGGGAACGGAGTAAAACCGGTGGCCGCCATCACTGCCAAGCGGAGCGGGCTTTTGGGTTTTGGATAGAGGCCAGTCATATGCCGACTTGGGGAAAGGATCGGTGTTTACTTGGATGATAGAGCCAGAGGTATTCAATAGGATCCAAGAGTGTTGTTTTTTTTCCTATTTTTTGCTTGAGGTGCTAGGCACATCAGAAACATCGACAGTAAGAATCCCATTTGTTGCCGCTGTGTCTCAGGTTGGCGCTTTGGGCGAGGCGGCGGATCCGGCGGATCGAGCCGCGTCGGTCATGAGAACTGGACCCATCCTTTTGGTCCATGAATATCCAGTGAATGATTACAAAGAAGTGTGATTCTCCCATCCACAAGAACTGAATCACAACATCAATCACTTCTTCATGTGGATGGGAGACCGACCGTGTCCACGTAGACCGTAGACCTCCGAAGGTCCAGATGTTCAAGGGATTCAATGGTCTTTGATGAGCAGCCAAGAAATTGAACACTTTGCGCACTGGTTTGATGATGTTCACTTATGTTCACTGTTGTTTTTATTTTACCATTTGCTTGACCCACTGGGCAAGCAATGCAGAGTGGTAAAACTTGTGCAGAAAACTGAACCTCTGACACAAAACGGTGTCCAGCTTCAGGAGTTCTTTTGAGGTACCACCAAGATCAATCTTGCAGCCCTGGGGGGGGGAATTCCAGGTAGCTTGAGGATGGATCAATCACGCAGCTTCCCCTGACTCCTTCAATTTCGCTTGGGGATGCGACATCTTCCCCTCGCAGGGTCTCCCATGCAGTCAGGATGCGTCCACCAGAACGTTCCATGGTTGGCTACGAACCCTGCGGGGGCCAGGCACCGAAGCTTCGTTTCCTACCCCGGAGCCCGGACATCCAGGCGGGTTCCAGCTCCGCGTATGGCGTGGGCTGGCCGCGCTCCGCTGGGGAGCTGGGTGGGGCGAACGAAAGAGTTGGATTTAGCAGCAGGAGATGCCTTGATAAGTCCTTAGAAGATGTATACTTTAAGAGCATTTTTGTTGGGCTTCTATGAGATGCTTAAGATGCTTAAGGCCAGAAAGTGGTTTCCAAGCTGCTTCTCATTGGAAGGGAATGTAACATGATGCAAAACAAGAGGGCTTGATCCAGATTTGGATCGATTTGGCGATTCAGTGGGTTCTTCCCATTCGACCAAAACCGTTTGCAGCTGAAGCCAACACCAACACTCACCAACACCAACACTCAAAGCACCAACCGTGCTACTGAAGTCCTTGGTGGTGAAGAGCATCTTTTTCCAGAACAGCAGACCATAGATAGATGACCTTTTACGCCCTTGGTTGGTTGATGAACAGAGGGGATACCCCCTGGTCGTGTACAACCAATAGGTATATGATACCTGGCATCAACCCCTGGTATTCTCACCCCAAAGGATATTGTTGATCTGGACTTTTCACTTGGTTCCACCGAGCCACGCCAAAAGCACGCAGGCATCAGAGGAGGTGGCCACCATGGCACTGGAGGACGGGAAAGCGCTCAATGGCTTTGAGACTGCAACGCTGCGGGGTCACTTCCCACGCATTGTCGACATCGCCAACCAGCTTGGTAGGCATTTTCCGGGATTGTAAGGGTCACAAAGGGTCTTCCGGTCCAATGTTGCGGAATTGCGTCCCCACAGATTTGAAGGATGCACTCTTTGTGTAAGAGCATTTACAGTATATAGTTCTAATTGAGTTCTAAAGAATGTGGTCCGGGACATGGATGTGCCTGCCCGACTCATCACGGTGCCTACCGCGAACTAGGACGACTGAAGGTGTCACGGTGCGAACGTCCAAGAAGGTGTCACGTTCACCGGTTCACCACTCGGTTCACCGGGCGGTTGGACCATGGGCGTCACCGTTTGGTTCCGTTTCACACGGTCGCCAAACAGGTACAAGGACGGACTCCATCACCTCCATCTATGTTTGTTTTGTTTTTTTGGGGTTCCTCCCCCAAACACGCAAAAGAGCTGGCTGGAGTGTTCTTTTTACATGTTTCAATCACCGTCGGCAATTGCAGACTGATGCAACCCGGACATGGGGAAAGAACAACAAGATCTCTCTCTCCGGTTCGTGTTCAAACGAACCTGAACGGAGGGACCGACGAGCTCCGGAGGGACCTTCAGATGGCTTGACTCACAGGGTTGAGAACTGACAGATGAACGAAGGAACTGACAGATGGTGCGCCATGCAGAACTGAGCAAAGCATTGGAAATCATTGGAACTTCATCCCAACATGGTGTTAAGAACTGACCCGATGCCCTTGTCACAGAAGTACATAGACTTCTAAATTGACTACCATGAGCATACCATGAACCGCACCCTCAACCATACTGAGTCCGAAAAAGACACCCAGCAACTAGGCGTCATGTCATCATGGGTCGTCCAGTATGGGGATTTTTTTGGAGAACTCCTGAGCGCCAGGATTTCCTGAACGCCACCAGCACTGAGCCACTCCAGCGCGCTGCTGTAGCGCTCCTACGAGCGCTGCGGGCGTGGAAAGCGTAGTGAGCGCTGCGGGCCTGATCCCTGCATACTGTAGGAGAGAACTTATGAGGTGAGGATCCAGGATGACCTGCACAGAACATACACTTGATATCATTTAACACAATCACATGCAAAATTTGTAAATAATGTAATTAACTTAATATGTAATCATATCATCTAGTCCATCGAGGAGTGAAAGAACATCTTGCTGCCCAAGAGATGAATGAATTCATAGGTGAACAGTGCACGGGCATGTGATATTCATTTCATGTTTGTATTGTAAAGTATTGTAAAGTTATCTTCTTGCTTAATCATATTTATTGAGATAGATGTGGGACTGTCACAAATTTACAGGGTAACTTGTGCTTAATTCATGGTGGGAGAATCCATGAAACTTGTCAAACCCATAGCAGATCATGGGAGGATTTGTTTGTTGGCAGAACCCTATTACTGTAAGCCGAACAATTTGGGTGTATAGGTGGATGCGATTCGAGAGAGGAAAGTCCTTGATATGGATTTCATGAGCTGAATGTGCAGATTATTGGAAGGTTGTGCAATAGATTTTAATTCTAGGGTATTATAAGTTTGTGTTTGGAATTCCGGTAGTTTGGTCTACGTACTAGCGGGTTGAGAACACCGATCATCTAGCCGATCAGCCGTGCTTTGTTCTGTTTGGATTAAGAAAGTCACTACAATATATACAATACTTATCTCTCTCTATATATATACATACACATGCATATGGTACACGTTGGAGTAATGACAGCCGTCCGGCCCCTATAACCGGTGGCTCACGCTGGTTCCGTGGACCGCGCGGACCGGTGGCGGATCGCGACGGATGATGCTCGGACGGGCCGAACGTGGAACACGTGAAGGCCGGCCGTGGATTGCCGGCCGTACATGTGGCTATGGGTCAAAACGGGGGGAAGATGGTTGACCGAAAAGGAACATCGACGACATACAGGAGATCTACTAGGGCTTGGGGCTTCCGGTTTTGACCGACGGATTTACAGTCATATTAAAGAAATGCAGCAAATGCAGGTTCCAGGTGGTGTAGCTCTTCTTTGTGTATCTTCCGTGATACCGAGCTCCTTTGGGCATCTCGAGCTCTTCCACCGTAAGCGCAGTCCGAGATCCGAGCTGAAAGCGCTTGCAGATGAAAGAAATGAAGGTCTCTGGACCTCCAGTCTGGGGTGTAGTGACTGGTCGTGAAGATGACAATGTTGAGGTGTCCTATTTTTCATTTCGCCAATACTGGATCGGTCGATCCTTGCTTAGTGAGAGGCATGCACACCATTTGCTGCATCTCAAGAGCCGCTCGCAAGCGAGATGCGTCAAACGTGGAATTCCACGTCCAACCAAAATGGCTCTGGAAGGCCTTCCGGCTGGCAGCTTCCGGTTTGAGGACGGCTGGCGCCTTCACGGCACATCCCAGCTGCAGTCAAAGCCACATCTGCATCCAGAAAGAAATCTCCAAGACTCCCTGAAGAAGGTTCTTGGAGGAACATGGCAGATTGCATGAGCTGGTCGACCCATGCCCTTGACTCACGTGACTTCAGGGTCTCCGTGGCCGCCACTGGCCATTGAGCCTCTCTTGCCAGGAATACAGGAATAATAGAACAACCATTTGCAGCCCGACAATCCCGCTAGGGCTGGCACACCTAAACTGGCCTTGCGCAGGCACACAGGAAACCAGTGATGTCTGGGGGGGCCCAGAAGTTTTTCAGAATCACAAACCCAGGGTCGCCATTGAAGACCTCTTGTATCTAAGGACACCGTACATGTTGCCGGGCTGCTGGGTATGTGTTGTTCAGGGTAGTTGATGGATCACTTGGGGCCCCTCCCAGAGTGACCTCTATTCTTGATCACCAACCACTCAAAATAAGGTCAGTTCCTATCAAAACAAGGGTCAGAACCTTTGTCATGCCAGATAGAACCAGATCATGTTGAATAGCACAAGAGCATGTGACACTCTTTGTCACATCTCATATTTTGGCAGTCCAGCTGTACTTGAGAAGGGTGTGTGACGTTCCAGTTGCTGGCCAAGCCAACAGCCAGCACAGCCAGCTATCATGGACTTGGAGATGTAACAACAATCTGCACCATCCAGGGTTTAATTCGCAAACGGTCGACAGAGATCTACAAAGAAGAGCGGGGCTGCCGGGGCTGCCAGCTGCAGGCTGCCAGTGGGGCTGCCATGGACTCGGCGTCGGAATCACTGGGAATCCGCACGTGACCAACTATTGCGCGGAATCCGTCACCAAGACAGACAGCTGGGCGCGGAATCCGTCAACAAGGGTTCCAGATGGAGATGGTTCCAAGACGGACAGGAGTTAAACGTTTTCTATTGATTTGGACGGGTCAAGATCTGGATACGCTTCGCTTGGACGGGTCACGTCTTCGCTTGTTTGGTGTCTCTTGATGTCCTTGTGCACTCCAGAGCCGGTGTTCATTCAGCCGAATGGAATGCTGATCCCCCCCATGTTCTCACCGGAAGATAAGGAATTGACCCACAGTTGTTTGCTGGTACTTTCTTTGACGCATAAAAGAATGAAATGCCCTTGTTACTAGAAGCTTCTAGCTACTGGTAGTAATGTCCTTGTTTCTAGTAGCAATGCCCTTGTTACTAGTAGCTTCTAGCAGATCGAGCAAAGTTGGGGCGCCAGGCAGCTGGGCCCTCCAAGCCCATCAACCCGAAACAACGGAACACGTCGGGCGCGTCAGCGCAATCCGCGGGCATCGGGGCTGTTGGGCCAGCGCAAGCCACGGAGCCATGGTAGATGTGCATCTGAAAGCCGGGTGAGATGCAGAAGAGGAGATGAAGGCTGCAATCCTCGCAGCTTGGCTTCAGAGCTTTCGACCCCCTTTTTTTTCGGTCGGATTTTCGGATTTTCACGCGGCCTGGAGCACTGGAGTTTAACCATCTAGATCTGGTCAGTCGATCGGTCCTGAGTTTTGCCACCCGTTTCTTTTTCAGGAAACTGCCATGATGTATATAATTATGCGTGAATGGCATTCATGGAAGTGTTCAACACATGTCACGTCTGTGCCCTCTTCATAGCCCATCTTCAGGTCTGGGCGCTTTTGCTCAGCGGCTCGGCGACAGCGGAGCAGCCGACATTGCTCGCGGCGGAAAACGCGCGCGCGGTCCGTCGGGACCGCGCAGCTGTCGCGTTGGGTGCAAAGGCGACCCTGGACCCTCAAACAGCTAGATGTTTTGCGCAATTTGGCGGGGAAAGACATGCGATTCCACGGCGGGAAAGAGAGATTCATGACAGACGTGTGGAACAGCACGACCTTGTCATGTGACCATATGTGACCATGACGTGGTGATACTCGTACCTCCTGTTCCATAACTCATCCACAGCCAGCAAAGCGGCAAAGCCGGCTGGAAGCAGATGGATGTTGGAGCCACAATTCTACCTTTTCTTTCATTCTTTCGCAACGGACTCTTCAAACATGACTTCACCGACAACTCAAATGAATTCAGATGCCACGGACCTGCCTTGTACACGAAGAACACCACGAAATTCTACCTAGATAACTATAGTCTCCAATCACCTCCTACATAATAGGATCCATAGGGATGGACAGGAACTTTGAGACATGGCCTGAAGCACCTGAAGACAGATGGAACCGGTGGGTCTCTTCCCGTGACACTCCCAGACACGACCCATGTCATATATGAGATGCCATTGAAATATGCCATCCATGGACCATGGAGTGTTTGGGACTTGTCTCTTGCGGACACGATCTCTCGTGTCAGCCTGAGGCTTTGACAGGCACGGTGTCCGGTACCGGTGGGTGGGTCGGACCAGTTTGGACTGGTCAAGTAGCCATGGTTTCGTTAAAGGCACCCTGTTTGCAGAGGGTTCTTCAAGTAGCCACGGTCGAAATCCGCCATGCCATCCACGTAACCATTGATTTTTCTCAGGGAGTGTATGTTTTGATGTGTTTTCTCTTGGACATCTGGAGGTCGGAATCATTTGTTTCATACTCTTGATCTTTTCTTGAAAGATCCTATGGTTATACAGATGCATCATACATCATACTACATTATCATACCACTTCATAATATACTGTATATATATAATATCATATAACTATTACTATATATCATATATATATATTACCATTTGGCAGCGTTCGATCAGAACATGGAGGTACACAGAGCTACAACCAGTGGTTGACTGGCATACTGGTAGACCCCTAGAGATGGCAAATCACGTGTATCCGCTTGTTTTGTTCTTCATGTTTGTTACGTATTGTATGGTTCCAGTGGGATCTCAATACTGTAGTGGATACACGCCATGACAACAGATTAATTGGTTGGAATCAACTTCCATGACTGGCTGCCAGTGTTGCTGTGGTAGTTTTCGGGGTGTTGAACAAGTAGGGCATTATGTACGTTATTTACTTCTTTGTTCTGGCTTTTCTCAAGTGACATGTTAGTGACTTGCTTGTTGGCCCTGAATGAAGGAAGGAGTTAGGTAACCGATACCGAAAGAAACCAGGGATGGTTTGGGATCAAACAAAGTGCATCTACCTGCCATTCAAGTATACTTAAATCAGTAATAATAGTCATATAGCAGACACAAATTAGTCATAAATCACGTTATATATGTTGACGGTTGAGATGCTACTAGATAGTATACAGTATCTAGTGCACTTTAAACTTACATAATTCATATCTACAAAGAAGGCAGAGAAAACGTTTTTTTTTCACAAGATCAAGATCATGTGACACATGTGTCATGGGATCTGGGGTGTCGGGATCTGGGATTCAGCTTCGGCCCTCCGGCGCTGAAGAGCACTTCGGTCTCAGTTCATGAGCCTGTAAAACGGTGCTGCAGAGCTCGCCCTCTTGGAAGTACAAAGAGGAAGAGGACCTTCCAAGTGTTCACCTTTCTAGTCGATGGAGTGTAAAAGGAAAACTATACTGTAGTCCCTTGATCAGAGGACCCATACAGAGGAATCCATGGGGGGGGTGAAATTCACCCCCCGGACGTCCCGGAACTGTGGATCACTGTGTTCCACTGGAACCATCGAACCGTGGCGGCCATGCAGCCATGTTTCGAAACGCCGAACGCGGGCGAATTGGGAAGCTCGGTGTGTTCACTCGGTGAGGAGTCCGAGCCTCCCTCTGGTTCGGCATGTTGACCTCCGCGTTCCGCGGCGCGGTTCAGCCCCAAACACGCTCTCCATTGGGGAAACCGGTGTCGCATCGACCATCGGCCACGCGCTGTACGAGTGCTTTTGTTTGGGCGGTGTCTTGACACCATCGGCCTAAGAACATCGGCGTCCTTGACTTCGATCGAACCGAAAGAAACCGACCGGATGTCCCCACGACCCCGAGGTCCCCGGGCGAATCGATGCCGAAAGCGACCCCCTGACGGCCTTGACGGGGGTCCACCATAAGAGTCGACCAGATGGGAGCTTTGCACAAATGAGAGACGACGAGATCAGATCAGACTATCATATGTAAATATACTATTGATATCACAGATCCTACTTGTACACCCAATTCTATGGCAACTGTCATGGCAGTCTCAGATTCGTCGACATCACTCGACTCTGACCGGTCGTGGATGTCTCTTTTTTCGCGCCGCGTCGCGACGGAGGCCCTGCTGGCTGGCGGAGGCTTTGCCTGCTGGGAGTGGAGGGTCTGGACGTTTGCCCTACTTGTAGGGCTCGAAGTAACTTCTAAGAAGGTAGGACTTGGGTGGGTTTAGAGGGTCCAAATACTTTCTCAAGAGGTACAACTGGAGCCCTATAGGGTTGGTGGATGTGTCAACATGGGCTATGGCAGATGTGCCGAGCCCCTCAAGTAGACGGCTCGATTCACCTTGACGAAGTTCAAACATGACCGGTGGGACGACGACCTTTTTGAAGGATCAGTTGGGGTGGGCCGATCAGTTGGGGTGTCCCATGGAGTGTCAAGGGATGTCAAGGGTCACGACCAGGCTATGAAAGGGTACACGGCTCCACTGATCTCTTGAGGTCCCTTCCCACTCGATCTTCTGCCCTCCGAAATCCGCAGAAATCCGGACGGCCAACGGGCTTGGGATCACAAAGAAACAGCAGAGCAGATGGAATTCAACGATATGGTATGATATGGTTTTGATTAAACGCAGAGATGTGTCAATGTTCTAATACAAGTTGTTGTGTTTTTGAATACGGGTACCGAACTAGGATCATGCGAAAGGTCTCAACCGGAAGATCAACTAACTAGCTCTTTGTAAAACAAACACGGTCGACAGGCGGTAGACTTCTTACAAGATCTTATAAGTTTGGAACCCAATCTTTTCGGCACCATCCACCACATCAAACTGTTTGCACCGGCTGTTTGTTCCCAAACGACCCCAGGGACGAGAGAGGCCAAGGAGTTTGCGTTCAAAGCCCTTTGATCATGAAGCTTTCACTGCACATCTCATCACGCCGCTTGGCTATTTACTTTGTGCAATTATTTTGAGCTTTGCGAGAGAGAGAGAGGGAGAGAGAGCCGGAGAGCAAAAAAATGGGAAGGGCTAATGTGCATGGAAGTCGGGGAATGGCTACTGGGAGCTCTCTGAAGAGGCATTGCTAGGAGCTGGGCACCTATCTTTGGGTTCCATATCAGTTCTTACTCCTTCTCTTTATATCAGTTCTTACTCCTTCTCTTTCTATCAGTTCTTACTCCATATCAGTTCTTTCTTACTCAGAGCTGGGCACCTTCTTTATTCCTTATCAGTTCTTACTTTTGACGGGTGAAGGCGTGTATACACTGGTCACGGAAATGGCTCTCCTCCTCGTAGGTGCTGGATTGATTGGGGTTGGCCAGCAAGAGTTGTTTGGGAGCCATGAGCCAGGAGTACTGACACGGGGTATATGTACTGACACGCGGGCCAATGAAGGATAATAATACATGATAATACAATATATAGTAGTAATATGTATAATAATTGTAATAGTGACCAATCTTCCAATCTAGAGGCCTTCTCCATATTGTCTCACTGGCAGCCTGAGCGGATGAGGATACCACATATGAAGAGGGGAGTTTGCGTGTTATTCACTTTTGGCCACACGGACACTCCAAATTGAGAGGGGGGTCCAAAGTGCTCCAAAGTGGGTTGCTTTTTGATTGGGTCTACCGGGATCCAGAGATGGCAAGGTCGCCTTAAGTTGAGAGAAACCAAAATAATAAACAAGTTGCCACGTCACGTGTTATTGTGATGTTCCTTTGGGAATACAGACTTTTGTCTCTGTTGGCAGGAGAGTTTTTTTTTTACTGGTTTTATGGGTCAAGTCATGTTCAAAATGAAGAAAGGCAATCCCGGTTTTGCTTAAGGTGATCTTTTCTTCCCTGTGGTTAAATCCCCTTCTGGGGAATATGTTATACTTTTTTTTCAGGTTTCCAAGCAATTCAAAACTATGCAGAATGCCAGCTCGTGGAGCCTCCGGAGGGTTGAAGATGAAGCAATCCATGCTCAGTTCCATGCTCATCCCTTCATGCCTTTGGACAAATTCAGCTTTGGCCATTTGGCTACGGCCAGCAACGATCCATACCGTGATCCACAGGGTTTGGATTGATCCATGCCCTTTGGATCAAGCTTGGGTAACACTGTGGTGGAGCAACAACTTCATTCTGCAAGGTTGGCTGGAAAGGCAATACTGGAGCTCTGAAATCTTCACTTTGGCAAGTCTTCCTCTACCAGAGCCTCCGCCGCCCAAAATGAACTTAGGGGCGTCCAGTAACCCATTTTGCGCCAAAATGAATTTAGCGGCGTCCAGTGACTCCATTTTGCAAGGTTATCCAAAATGTGCAAAGTGGAGGCCGGAAACTTCACTCTGCAAGGCTTGCTCCAGTCAAGGCCCTAAACTGAATTCACTGGCGTCCAGAAGCTTCATTCTGTGACGTTGAACAGCTAGAGGGCCACCACTGTCAAAGTGTGCAAAGGGGGGCCAGAAGCTTCATCCTGCAAGGCTTGCTCGAGTCGAGCTCTTGCTGCCCCAGAATGAACTTAGCAGCGTCCTCGAAGCCGTCAAGCCTTGCAAATGGAATTACCGTTCGCCGCTAAGTTCATTTTGGTCAGTGTTTAGTGAGGGGTTGGATCAAGTCACCAGTCTGTTTGATCCATAGGACTTGGATCAGCGCTTTGATCCATAGGGTTTGGGTCACTCTCGCTGCAGCGCGGAACGATCCATACCAGGGTTTTTTGACCACACCCATTTGGTGCTGGAGTCTTCCCTAAAATCAATCGCACAACTCTTTGCCACAAAGAGTTCTGGCTTTCTTGCTCGGACTCTTTGCTTTGTACGAGGACATCCCCACCAAAGCTTGACAGTATTTGATGCTTTCTTCATGTTTCTTCAACCCCTTCCAGTACGGAAACAACAACTCGGTCAGTCGGTACTCATCAAATCCCAAGCCATCCATGAGACTGGAATATTTACCTGCATTGAACTTTAAAAAGGCTTATAGCCACCCCAATGGCCCCAATGTAGGCAACTATTCCAGCCTTGTGGATGGCTTGGGTATGGATTCACCATGACTCACCTCTCACGCTGAGTGCGATGTGACACGCACGTTCCGAGGATGTCGCCCGCTGCTTGGCTGATCTGTCGTTGGTCTCCAAATTTTGGTGATCTCTTTTACGGAGTGGAGGGTGGATGTATTTGTTGATGTGATTGACAATAGGGCATCTCGAATTCTCGACAGTTCGACCTCCACCCAGGGCCAGGGATAAGACAATTGTGGACAAGTCTTTCTGAAGATTGGCCTACCCAGGGAAAGTGGATAGCCCGAAAAAAACATTTTTGGCGGATGGGTCTCATCAATACAGAAAAGGAGTCAGTTTGGGAATTTTTGGTGATGTGTTTTTGTTGGAAGATGAGGATTGACTCCCTACACCCATTTCTTCAGATTTCTACACACCACAATTAGACATGGTCATCAGTGCAGCAAGAACTGCGCGAGCTTTATTCCGTTTTTTTCACCCAAGATGAATTGTTCAGTGCTAGCACTGGAGTTTTTACATTGCCCTGACAGTACAGCACCGCCAAAAAAAAAAACTGTAAGGAAGTTCTAGAGTTTTAGGGTATAGGGGGTTAATCCAATGTTGTTATATGTGTTTTGTTTAATTCTATTTTGTGAAGCTCGACTGTTGTTTATCAGGCTTGGAGCCTCCAGCGTAACTCTTCGTTACAGAACCCAACTCATAGAAGGGTTTAGAGCCCAAGACGGGCTGCGTAGAGGTTGATCACCCAGCTGCGGCGGGTCTGAGCGCCCAGAGATGTTGGCAAGACTCCAGAGACGTCCTTAAGTGCGGCGGAATGCCTAGAGACCGTAGCACAGCCTGCCATTGAGTTTGAAGAGCTATGATGAGACCTTTTGCATAGCAAGACACCGCAGGGTGGAAAAAACTCCCAATCATCGACCGAAGGTCAGGGCACGTTGACCGGATTTTCCCCCAAACCTTCCAAATGACTGATTTGACATTTGTCATGACAGGTCGTTTTCCAGTCATGACGTGTTGTACTGGGTATATGGCAGTATTAGATGGCATTTGACCTCATTTGGGCATTTTTTATTTGTTTCCTCTTGCGCGGCATGCGCATTGAAGTGCACCTATTAGCCTATTTTTGTGTTTGTTTGAGTTGTTAGTACGAAAACCTGTTGCGTGCTTTGCTTCTCGGCCAGCAGTTCATTGCAGTTCTACTTTGCATGTGCGGTTGTATGATGTGTTGTCAACATTTTTCGTTGCACAGCATTCATCTTGCTTTATGACGCCAAATAGACATTTGCTGGCCGACACTGCGCAAATTCAAGGGTCAATGAAAGCACTTGTTGATGTTAGTTTAATATTTTTGATCTTTGTTCTATGAGTTTTGTTTCCAATGACTCAATGATGCTTTGCAGGAATGTTACTATGGCGGGTTGTTCTACGATTTTGTGTTGCATTGCATTGTTTTCGATTTGGGTGGTTTTGCATGTTTTTTTTCCATTGGGTGTACTGTACATAGATTCTGGAAGTATTTCTGCCCCTAACCACCTTGACCACTGCTCTCAGACTCTTCAATCATTACGGCCATCATTCACTGTAGCAATTGGACAAGATTTGCTTTGGATCTGAATCTGGCTCTCCAACCTCGTCAACAACGAACCGACACGGGGGGTCCAATTGACGGTGTTCGATGGTCATTTGACGGCACACGATGTGATATTTGTTTTGCAGCTTTGCACTCGCTTTTTGCTTGCCCCGTGACTTGAAGCTGCCGATGACGTATTCGCATTGACGGCCACCCTGGTTGGCTCATCTCGTTCATGACACGATTAAGATTCCGCGGATGATTACAACCGCTAGATTTATCCCGTGCAATAAAAGCTGGAAGTGTTCTGATGGGAAGTCTTTGACTTCCCAACATTAACCCATGCAAAGGGTTCGTCCTACGTAGGCATTAAGTGGCTTTCTGCAATCTGAACTATAATTCAACAACTTGCTCCAATACGTCATTTGTAGGGTGCGCCACTTTCCCAGACTGGACAGCAGGAACTAGGAGCCTATTCTTAAATCTGCAGCACCAATAACTTGGGCACATGGCACCTAGCGATCTCTTCTCTAGCTTGGGGTGACAGCAGCGGGGTTTTGTGAAGCTATACTGTGAGTCTACTCGTGCGTGGACTGTTTGTAAAATTCATGTATTGGAAACCCTGCCCTGTCATTCTCAGTTCCGGCATCACCAGCGTTCCTGGCCTTGGTCTTAGCAGCAGTGTACCAGGGAGACTCCAGGGTACCTCGTTGGTCTCCCGACGGTTGGCCCCAGGCGGCGGAGCGGCCTTTGTGGCGCCGCTTCTTGGAGCGCCGCTTCGGGTGGCCGCCGGAAGAAAAGCGCCTCCGCGCCACCTTGCAGCCCAAGGCGCCACGGCAAGGGCACCCACGACCCGGTACAGTGGAGGTGAAGTGTGGGTTACACCGCTCGATTGTCGTCGATAGCGTTTGAAATTATTTTGGCCCTGCTTTACTCTATTGTGACCCCGTGACCCCGTCTTCCCTTGAAACATGTAGGCTCTTGAACATCGTGGATGGTCCCCTGTAACGGTAAATCTGTCACCAAAGGTTCCTGACAGGACTGCGCAAACACAATATCTGATCCCGCATTGTGCAAACACAATACGCCTGTGTAGCAAAAGGTGTCGCCGCGCCTTCACAAGCGATCCGTGAAGTTGGACGCTCATGAGCTGACGACTGGCTCATCACGTCCGAGCGTTTGGTGAAGCCGAGAATCGCCTGGTGAAGTGGAGCCGCTGCCCTTGGAGCCCGACTTTCACAACATCGCTTTCGGGGATCCCAGGGTTTGTACGGGTGACGTTCTCCAGTCACCCGTGAACTCTTGCTGAGGCGCGGAGTTCATTCCAGACTTCGAGTGCACATGAGTCAGTTGGACTTGCATCGACTTGTCCAACGGTATCGAGTATCGAGCCGCGAAAGTGTGCTTCAATTTCGACCTCGCCTTCTTGGTTCCGCGGTTTTGAGTACTGAACTGAGCCTTTGTTGGGCTGTTCAACCTGCCGCTCTGTGGTGGTGATTGAGGTCCTTCTGATTTGTGGTGGGGATGCTCAAGCCACTTGCGAGGCATCTCAGTACCGCACTTCAGACGGAACATGACATCCACCGGACGTCCATGTGCTGAGGGGGTCCTCCAAGAAACTCGTGCGATGAGACTGATTCGGGCAAAGAAGATGAGTCAGTTTGTCCCTCCAACCCTCCAACTGAAGGCAGATGCCAGCTTGCCTGCTAGCGTGGTCTCTATGCATTGTAGTGGTGGTTTGCAAAGTACAGCGTACTGCAAATACAGAAGGCTCAGGAGGCCCTTAGTATTCAGTGGGGCGTTGTCTCCATGAGCCTGGGACAAATCTTTAGCTCGCTTCGGAGTTGTGTTGTGACTTGATCTGTTCTGGAACGGCTTTGGGTTGCCATAGCGGTTTGTGTCGCAGGTGCTCTTTTTGTGCTTGGCCTTTGCTGGCTAAGCAGGGACATGCCTGAGATGTGTGCTGAGAATGCTTCAGTTTGCCCAGTTCACTCTACGTCTAGCACAGAAAAGCTGCAACAAAATTTACACTCTCACTCTGACTTGCTAACATGAAAGTGGATGGCATGGCCTAACAGGGGGTGCCATCAGTGCGATCCACTTCCATGTGATATCTTCGTTGGAGTGTAAATTGTGTTGACAACATGTGACAACATCATGCAAGGCCACTTATTTTTTTGTTTAAAGAAGCTAGACCTTGCTGTGGACCATGGGCACTTGCTTGGTGGGAGTTTCAGACCAGGCATGCGCAACTTGACTAAACGCCGCATGTGCTTCAGTGCTTCCTGTCTTACCCGCATGAGTTTGCATCGTTTCCGTGCACAGTCCTTTGGACACTTCAAGGAAAGCAATGGAACACACAGAGGCGCACTGTCTACGACGTTGGGTCTATAGAAAATCAAGTTATTCGCTCTTGTAGGCACAGTTCCACTCACAGCTTGTCAACTGAGAGCTGTTTTGGGCTTTTGTGCTACACAGTAACCCCACGCCCATGTGCCTGTCCAAGACTGAACCTTGCTTCTGCCCAGTCACAGCTGATGGCTCCCCTGCAACCATGGCGACGAAAGCTGGGGCACGGGAACCAAGTATGGAGGGTGAGGAGTGGCCGAATGGATTTATATAAGCGCAGCGGTGCAACAAGAATCAGGAGCTTGCGTGGGTGTGTCGCAACGTCTTTCTCAGAAACACCACGTCTTCGGCCGTTCTGTTTTTTGATGTGTGTTTGGTTGGGCAGTCGGGCCTCTCTGAAATCAAGCCGCCGAAAGTTCGGCGACGAGATGTTGCCTAAGTTAGTTCGAGTCGCAGCGGCCCTGAAACGGGTGTGACTTTAGTGGGCCGAAGATGGGAGGGTCGTTGGGAAGCTGAGGTTTTCAGAACCCTGTAGACTGTAGGTTGTATCCCAGTTGGATACCCCAGTATGGTCTTGTAAGGTCACTTCACCTCTCCTTGGTTATGACAAGACACTGACTCCCCAGTGGTCGGGAGCAGTTCGGCTTGATCGGAGCGCCCCAAGCTGTGGTGTCACAGCTTGTCCCCATGACGAAGACTGACAGCTTGATCGAAGTGACATGCAGGGAACCCGTTAATTGAACATGCCAGGAGTCACAAAATTAATAGGGCTGCCTGGCATATTCAACGAACGTTCCAATTCTGCTGACTGGTAGGAGATTCTTCATTTCAGTCTTGCATCCAGCATATTATAGATCAATAGATCATTATATGCCGCGAACAATGACTGTTCAATCTGGGGGTGCTTTTTTCTAAGGCTTCCAGAAAGCCGTTTTTTAGCTGAGCTGATCAAGTTATTTTCTATTTTCCCAATGGTTAAATCATGTCAAATCCCCAAACCTGGTGAATATTGTTTTAACCTTTTCCAGGTTCCTTAAGTAAATCCAAGCAATGTCCCGCTATGTTGTTCCCCTATATTTATATCTATTTTTCATACATCACCGGTGTCCTCCCTCCTTCGAGAAGCTGCCGCTGAGGGCCACGGTCTCTTCCTACTGTTGGAGCCCTGACTGGTCACCAGTGGACTGCTGCTTCTTCTCGCCCATGGACACCGCATTGCAGGTGTGCTTCGCCAACAACACAGCCCCCTGGAAGAAACGGCCGACAAGACGGGAGGCTCCGGCTTTTTCTGGGGCCGCCGCTAGCGGCGCAGTGAGAGACCACGACCAGTCGACGGATCTCACTCTACAGGATTTTGTATACGGAATTCCGCTCCTTTCTTCTACGTTGTGAATTTCAACTGGTCGCGGCCCCACTCACTTTACTCCCAAAAGGGCCAAGCTCCCAACAAGTGATCATGTGGAATCATCAATTATGAGGTTTTGCACTCCATGTCTGGTGGGGCTTTACTACTCAACAGTCTAGGTCTGTGGTGGACATGTCTTTCATCAGGGTCCAGCACGTCGAGCCAAGCTTGTGCAAGTGAGCTTTAGCTCTCAAGGACGCAGGTTGGCGTTTCGTGTTCGGTCACAGCTGAGGGCATGTTCATGGATTGCTGCCCATGGGAGACGGTAGAGGACGGGTGATGCAACAGTCCGCTGGTTCGCTGTGAAAGAAATCGACTGGACATTGATAACGAGGGGCGACTTTTTGACACCTTGAACGTAAGCGTTTTGTTTCGATGCTTGAATCAACTAGTCACAACTAATTAGTCTCCATATGAGGTGGATCAGTGGATCATGATTCATAGTCTCCATTTGTTCGCGATGAATCTCCGTGCGAACAAATCCGTATCAGTTTGCGCATGGTGTGGGAGTTCAGCAGAGGCCAAGTTTCGATCGGATCGACATGCTTCCACTAAAACGTTATCTCAGCAAAAGCGCCTGGTTCGGTTAGATTGGGGGTTCCCACGTGACCCAAGATAACTTTGCTTTGCCGAACTCAACTCACTCCAAGTCAAGTGACCCAGGTTGCAAATGATTGCAGGAGATGCAATCCTCGCTGCTCTCCTGTGACTTGTCACCACACAACGCTTCGTGGCATTTGGTCCAACAGACCTTCGACGAGCGCCTCGACGACTGGGAAAAGGAAAGAACCATGTGTTATACAATGTTTTACAACAGCAACAACAACAACCACCACAACCACAACAAGCACAACCACAACCACAACCACAACCACAATCACAAACAACCACAACCACAACCACAACCACAACCATAACCACAACCACAACCACAGCCACAACCACAACCACACCACTTGCATATGTTTATCAATCATTTCAACGTTGCCATGGTGTGGGATGGCTGGGCTGCTCGTTACCACTACTAAGTACAAGTTCTATATATTTGCACTGGGTCCGAGTCCCATGGATTTCACTCTATCCATGACGATGGCAAATCATAAATGCAGCTGGCAGACTTGGCAGACCTTCGAGTCAACTCGGTCTGAGAAACCCCGATAGAAGCTGTGTGCCGGATGCCCTTTAGGATTTGACCGAAGCTTTTGGATTTCAATCATTGTTTCATGCCACTTCTTAAATTATATTAAGGTGCCACATATTTATTGTTTCACGCCTCTTTAAAGACATGCCTTTCTTTTATATTGTTTCATGCCACTCCGCACGGCGGCCAACCCTGAGCCTGTGGAAGCGGTGACTGTCCGCGAGGTCAACCACCCATCTGATTGGCCGTCCGCGCCAGTCGCATGGAGTGCCTGGTGAAATACTTGAGTCAAAAATACATGAACATTTTGGTCAAGTCTCCCAGTCTCCTTGATG